CCGGGAGGAGAACACGGGGAGGGAGGCCTCGGCTGCTGAAAACAGGTTTCTGGCCTTCGTTTACCGTCTGTATTTGATACAATGTTGCAGTCCAGCTGGCTGAAGCCCCGCTGGGAACATTGGAGTCCTCCATCACTGAAGCAAGCAAGCCTCCCTGTTCGCATCAGCTGCCTGGCTGCCGGCTGCCATCTTGGCTGCCAAATAATTTGCATATCTCGCTGATTAGCCAATGGGAAGGGTAGCGGTCGTACACCAATTACCATGTTTCTCTTTTATTAGTGTAGATAGTAAAGAATCTGGACCTCAAAAAAGGACTCCCATGTGGCCTTGGGCTTACCTGCTATATTGCCATTCAATTTTGCCTCGAGCACCATCGTTGGCATCAATAATAATTTGTGCAGTCAAGCCCTCTGAATCTGAAAAAAAAACCAAAGAAATGCACTTTAATATAAATATAAATTATTTTAAAAGAACTATTTTATATAGAATTTAAAGACAGTCTCTTAGAGACTACATTAATTCCTAATTTAGAGGTATTGGCAAAATTATTCAAAAAATGTTTAAGGAAATAAAGACATTAATGCTTATAACATCTGAATAAGAAAACTGCTAACAAGAGGCATTGACTTATTGAAATTTAATTAGCTAAGAAAAGTTGGAAGGCGTATAAAGAAAAAAGAGAAAGAAATGGGGAGAGAGAGGCAGGGAGTACTGCAGAGAAAAATATATGAGGGGAAAAGAGAGAGACAGAGGTGGATACAAACAGAAGCTGAGACAGGTGGGAAGGATAAAGATTAGGAGAAATAAAGAGAGACTAACATTGAAGTAAACTTCTCTTATCCCTTTTTATTTCGTATTCTGTCCACCAGTCAGTATGTTACCAATATCCATTATTCAGTTTTGAAATACTAATAACTAATCCTTTTACCATTTAGTTTTGTTTTTTAAATATGTTTGCCCTATACCTTTTGAATTCCAGAGGTACTATTTTAATCTGGGGTAGTGTTGGCGGCTGACTGGGTAGGGGAAGGGTATGGAGAGTAATTCTCTCTGAGTGAAGAGAGTACATTGTTGAACAAATAATATAAATCAGGATCTGGGCCCATCAGACTAGAGGCTGCACAGCAGAATCCCAGCTCCACTATTTCCTAGATGTGTGACTCTGGGCATGTTACTTAGCTTCTCTAGCCTCAGCTCCTATATCTGTACAATGGGAAGATAACAGGGAATAAAGGTACTAACAGCCGAACTGGTTTGGCTCAGTGGATAGAGCGTTGGCCTGCGGAATCAGGGGTCCCAGGTTTGATTCTGGTTAAGGGCATATACCCTGGTTGCGGACACGTCCCCAGTGGGGGGCGTGCAGGAGGCAGCTGATCGATCTCTCTCATCGATGTTTCTAACTCTCTATCCCTCTCCCTTCTTCTCTGTAAAAAATCAATAAAATATATTTTTTTAAAAAAAAATAAAGGTACTAACATTCAAAGCATTTGGAACAGGAGCATTAGAAAGCACTCAACAAAAGTAAAACTATTCAAATTACCTTTTATATGAGTTTTAAAGAAATATGTTATTTTGTTAGCTCTCTTAGTGTGAATGATAACTATCTCATAACTACTTGATGTATGGCCTAGTCTCTGAAGTCATTTATTTCTTTTGCAAAACAATTGAAATTTATCAAACAGTGGCATGTTAAAAACTGGTGATTTCCTTTTGATATTTTCAAAGTTATCTTGTTGAGCTCAGAAGTGAATGAGAAACTCCTATAACCCAGGCCGCTGCTCTTGGCCATGCTTCTCTTTCTTTAACTCAGACTAATTTCCGATCTGCCCAGGGCACCTTCTAAAAAAAAGGAAGGCAGCCTACCTCAGTGCCATACACTACTACCACCCCCTACCGGGCTGTCACAACTACAAGTTTCAGACAAATTTCCCAATATTAAATGTCCAAACCACAAACAGGTGTCTGTCTTTTGAAAATAAATAATTTACATAAATTTGTACTGAGGTTCAAGTTTTACCTTTCAGTCTGTAATAAACTAAATGAGTCTTTTCTAAAGCATGAAAAGATAAAAGGTCAAAAAGAAACAAGAACACAACAAATAAATAAACACTCGGATTAACCTAAGATGAAATAAAACCATTTGATAGTTTAGATATCTAATGAAAACAGCAAATTAAATTTTAAAAGAAAAATGCCTTACTAAGAACTAATTTAATTTTGCAGATTACAAATTTGGTTATAAAATGGTTGTAAGATGTAAAAAACATCACTCAGTAATTCTTAAATGTGTTTACAACGTCCAATGGTCAAACTGCAATAAATTAAAATAAATCTAAAAGCATAATTATTTTACACAGAGCTGATATTAACAAACATCACAATGACCACTTCTGATTAAAAAATAAAGTAACTTTACTTTGTTTGCAGTGAGTAAACAGAAACAAACAAAAATCCAACATACCCAGTCTAGGAGGAAATGAAGTTAAAGGAGCCATGATAAGTTCAACATAAGTTAAGTTCACGAGGAAATATTCTTCCAGTTCTGGTATATCATCCTGCAAAAATTACATCCATTAAATTCCCTATGCTCTCAAAGTAATTACATCTGACAAGCTGTTTTTCAAATGATGCTATAAATTTATATTCTTAAATTATATACAGAAAATATAAAAATGCTAACATAAATTAGAAAAGATTAACATGTCAAAAAGTATTGGCAATGGTATTTTTAATTCGACACCAAAAGCAAAAATAAATAAGTAGAACTATATCAAACTGAAAACCTTCTGTACAGCAAAGAAAGCTATCAACAAAATGAAAAGGCTATCTGTGGGACAGGAAAAAATATTTACAAATCATACATTTAAAGTTTGTAAAGAGCTCACAAGCTCAATACCAAAAATCAAACAATCTGATTAGAAATGTGCAAAGAAACTGAATAGACATTTTCCAAGGAAGGCACACAATGGCCAACAGGTACCTGAAAAGGTGCTCAACATCACTAACCATCATGAAAATGCAAATGCAAATCATAATGAGATATCACCTAACATCTGCTAGAATACGTATTATCAAAAAGACAAGAAGTGTTGGCAAGGATGTGGAGAAGGGACCCTTGTGCACTGTTGGTGAGAATATAAACTGGCCACTATGCAAAATAATATAAAGGTTCCTCAAAAAAGTAAAAAAAGAACAAACATATTATCCAGCAATTTCACCCCTGGGTATATATGCAAAGGAAATGAAAACAGGGTATCAAAGAGATACATGCACTCCCACATTCCCTGCATCATTATTTATAATAACCAAGATATGAAAACAACCAAAGTGTCTGTCAAGGAATGAATGGATGAAGAAGATGCACTACTACTACTACCACTACTACAGTTACTACTACTACTACTACTACTACTACTACACACACACACACACACACACACACAGAGGAATATTATTCAGCCATGAGAGAGATGTAAATCCTGCCATTTGCATCAAAAGGGATTGTGCTAAGTGAAATAAACTAGGCAGAGGAAGACAAATACTGTATGGTGTCACTTAATGTGGCATCTTAAAAAGAAAAAAAGTCAAACTCATAGAAACAGACTAGAAAACTGATTGCCAAGGGGTTGGGTGGGATATGGAGAGATTGGTAAGAGTAAAAACTATCCGTTTGACCATAATCACATTTTTTAAATCCTCATCCAAGGATATTTTCAATTGATTTTCAGAGAGAGTGGAGGCAGGGGCGGTTAGGCTTAGGGAGAGGGAGGAGACAGAGAGAAAGAGAGGGAGAAACATTGATGTGAAAGAGGCACATCAATTGGTTGCCTCCTGCACCAGCCCCAACCTGGCTGGGGATCGAACCTGCAACCCAGGTACGTTCCCTTGACTGGGAATTGAACCCATGACCCTTCAGTGTGCGGGCTGATGCTCTAACCACTGAAAAACACAGGCCAGTAACCATAATCACATTTTAAGCCGTCAACCTCTCCAGGGTCTCTCAGTCTCTCTAATTTAACCAGTCCTAAAAATTAAGATGCTACATCGATTTGCCGATCCAATGAAACCTTTAGAGTAATCAAAATGCTCCTTTAGAATGCCATCCTAAAGAAGACTGCCGTAAGGAAATTGTCTTTATCACAAGGTGTTTCTATAATAAAATACACAACTGCAGACCAGCCTATCTAGACAACAGCAGAAATCCCTGTGTGGTTTAAAAAAAAAAATCACAAAAAGAGATAAGCTGATTTAAAGGTTCCAGAATATTCCATCAATTTCTACTTTCTATGTGGTTATTCGGATTTAATACAGTAAATCAAAAGAAGAGTTTACCTCAAGTATAGTTATGTTGATGGCTGCTGCTGTTACCCCTTCTTCTAAAATCAGAAAGCCAACTACTGGGACAAAGTCAACATCTGGCTCAGCTAAGTTTCCTTCTGTCTGATTCTTTAGACTCAATATTCCAGGAACCGTGGTATATGTGACATTAATGGCTCCTAGTTGAATTGGATGGGAAAAGATTTTATAATTAAATTTTTGATACAGAATCTCACTGGGAAATCTTTGGTTTTCCTAAAAGCACCTTAGTGGTTTATATTATTAACCTAACTCCTCACACCTTCCCATATCCTTGACCTTTCCCCATGTCTTGGCACAGTGATATCCCAAGGTGGGCAGGCATACTGCCCTGCCTCTGGGCTATGAGTCTGGCTGTGTGACCCGTCTTGGCTCACAGTACAAAATAAAAGTGGGGAGGTGCGAGTTCTGAGCCTAGACCTCAGAGGCCTGGGATGTTTTTACTTGCTTCCTTGTACCTCTCCTGGTCCCAGGAGAAGAATGAGAGACATATGGAATAGAACCACCCCAAGCCCAGCCTTCCTTGTACCTCTCCTGGTCCCAGGAGAAGAATGAGAGATATATGGAATAGAACCACCCCAAGCCCAGCCTTCCTTGTACCTCTTCTGGTCCCAGGAGAAGAATGGGAGACATATGGAATAGAACCACCCCAAACCCACAGCCAACATTATTATTATGCTGAGATTTTATGACTATTTGTTACATAGCATTTTTGAAACAATGTAAATTACTTTAATCTTTCAAAAATAAAGAAGTTATAAAGTCCTATCCTAAGATTAATAAATATTAATGCTTTTCCTGTCCCTTATTTATTTCAGCAATGGCTTCCACCCACACAAGTAGGATACTGAAAAAGCACCTGTCTGGAAACCCCATTCACTCTAGAGTAACACAAACCTAGAGATCCAAATTCCCTGTTGATGAAAAGCTGAATCGTTATGTCAGCCTCTTGTAGCAAAACAAATCTGGATGAAAGAGCAAAATTTAAAACTCCGTGTGGTTCATCACTGGCTTCCACAGTCAGGACAGCCGCATACCCCTGGGCGTCAAGCAGAGCAACTCCTGCCGGTGGGACTCCTAAAATTATCAGGGAGCACAAACATTACGACAGTGACTCGGCATTAATTTCTAAGTACTTAAAATGTAACCCCACTCTCTGAAACATATCAAAGTAGACAGGAAGTGCTCCATTTTATTCATGTCCTTAATAGAAATCTTCAGGCTGAGTAAGAGAATCTACATTTTAATCTTCTTTTTCTAGATAGCAAATCATGAATTTTTTCACTTGACATATTATTGTCATTATTTGCTAGATTGGTCATCTGAATAATGGAAATTGAATAGAAACTGAGGAAAGCACCAGATAATTTTCTCAAAATGACTGAATTTGAAATATCCAAATACTGGGTCTAAATCCAAATTGGACTGCTAATATAAAATTAATTATATAAAATTTTTATTCCATTAGAAAATATTTAGCAAAATTTTTAGAGGTTGCTCCTGAGTACATAAAGATAATATATTCCCATTCTGAGCTGATGTTTTATCAATTTAACATTTTTAGGAACAGATGATATATAAAGTAACATGAATTGTTAAGTGTATAGATAACGCTTACTTTTTTCTGAAAAAATACACCAGAAAAAATTTAAATTTGAATTCTGAATTACCTTGTGTTCTGACATCATACAGAATGACTTGGTAAACTTCTTTCTCCTCAGGAACGTTGTCGTCCAACAAATGCACACATATTATTTTGTTCAATGACCCCTATGTCAAACAGAAAAAAATCATACCCATATTATCTCTAAACACAAAATATCTTCTACTTTTATTGGCCTTAAAAATTGTGCACTCAGCCCTGGCCAGGTTGCTCAGTGGTTAGAGAATCGACTCATACACCAAAGGTTGTGAGTTTGATTCCCAATCAGAGTACATACCCAGGTTGCAGGTTTGATCTCTGGTCAAATGAATAGATATTTCTCTTTCATATCAATGTTTCTCTCTCTTTTTCTCCCTTCCTCTCACTCTGAAAACATACTCTCAAGTGAGGATTGTAAAAAATTGTGCATCCAAACACATTTTTATTTAAGCAAAGTGTTCTGTGGCTTAAAAATATAAATTAAATTTAAAAATCATTCACTCATGGAAACCCAGGCTTAAGGCAGATTGGGACTAATTGAATACTGGGCTGATTAATGTAGATCTTATTCAATGAGCAATGTTGACAGTTTCAGACAAAGCAACTAGCTGGGGAGATTCTATGGCAGTGGTGAACAGGAAAAACTTGAACATGGAAAAGACCAGAGCTTCAGGGAGAACAGGGATTAGAAATCCAATGCAGTACTCAAGGCTGGTGGTTATAGGGGCTTGGCTTAATATTGAGACAGTAGAAATACAAAGAAAAAGAATTAAACACATTATCAAACAAGAATTCACCAAGTGAATGTGGGGAAGAGAGGAAGATGATAGAGTTACAATAAAGTGGTACCAATTTTCTAAGACTTTTTATAAAGTTACTAGAGGCCCGGTGCACAGATTCGTGCACCAGTGGGGTCCCTCGGCCTGGCCTGGACTGCGGGGATCGGGCCGAAACCAGCAGTCCGACATCCCCCCAGTGGGTCCCAGAGTGTGAGAGGGCACTCTGCAAAGTTGCTGTCACTCGGCAGCTCCTGCGTTGAGTGTCTGGCCCCTGGTGGTCAGTGCATGTTATAGCTACCAGCCAGTAGGCCAGTCACTCAGGCTTTTATATATATAGATTTTTCGACATTCACCTTTTTCAAAGTATCAGAGTCTCTAAATGGCACCTCAAAAATATATTTTTAGTATTACCTTCGTGCAATATTTTGTCAACAGGCCATAAAAGACATAGATTTTTTAGAGCTATATTTGTTGTTCCCAGGCATTTAAAGTTCCAAGACAGTGAGGAGTATGACAAGGGACAAGCATCAGTCTTCAGAATGATGCAGTTGACAATAATGGGGAGGCCAGGAGAGTAGCAAGAGAGCTTGTCTCAAATACAAAGTTGACCTTTTCTATTTCTTTAAAGGAGACCTACCAAACACATATGGAAAAACAAATCCATTCCTTAAGTCTTAGAAATTCTTTATTTAAGTAGTGTGCTTTCTTTAGGGTTCCAAACAAATAGCTCTCCCCTCAACCTCCATTAATCCTTGCATTACATAATCAGAGTTTTCCTTTTTCTCAAATGCACTGTTTTCTCTACATATGTTTGATAAAGCTCTTCTTTTTGCTCTTACCTCAGAAAAGAAGAGTTGTCCAGTAAAGTTAGCAAAATTGAGTTCTAGATTTTGCCCAATAATTTTCCAGTTGACAGTAACATTTCCTCGACCAGGGGGCGTTCTTTTCACATGGAATTGCAAAATTTCTCCTGCAAGTGAAACGTACAGATAAATATTTAAATGGAAAGGAATTTAACATTTGAACTCAACCAAACCCAAATCCCAAACATGCAACTATTAAGCACCTTTTCCAGAACATTACAAAGCTGTTTGTTCTGTTTGGGGTTTTCTAAAAGCTTTATACATGCTTATTGTTTACTGGCATGGGTATCTCATTTCTAAATAGTTCTATTTAGAACTTCAGGAAGTTCGATATGTAAAAATTACAAAAGCACATGCTATAATGGGAAACACAAACTTTTATACACTCCAAAACATGCACCAGAACATGAATGTTCTGTAAATTAAAGTTCTCATGGACAAAGCTAATAAATAATAGCACAACTAAATTTCCCTTCATTTTTCAAAAGGACACAATTCCTTACACTGATATGCAATGTGATTTTACACAATGCATGCATAAAAATGCTTGCAAATACCTGAAAATCACATTTCTTTAAATTGTAACTTACATATACCATCAATGATTATGTGTTACAAAGAGAAATACAAAGGAAAGGTGTCAAATCTGTACATCAGTCTCTGTAACTTCAACAAAGTTACAGTTTTCCTTTCTGGGTAACTGGGGTATTTTAAATACTTTCCATTCCTGGCTTTTGTCCTCATGTAATATTATGTAAAAGTGAAGAATATCACCATAGGCCAGTGATGGCAAACCTTTTGAGCTCGGCGTGTCAGCATTTTGAAAAACCCTAACTTAACTCTGGTGCCGTGTCACATATAGACATTTTTTGATATTTGCAACCATAGTAAAACAAAGACTTATATTTTTGATATTTATTTTATATATTTAAATGCAATTTAACAAAGAAAAATCAACCAAAAAAATGAGTTTGTGTGTCACCTCTGACACGCGTGTCATAGGTTCGCCATCACTGGTCTAGGCATCTCTTTTAAACTGCTGAAAGTGAAATGCAGTACTGCCGGGGGCCATGTGGCTTGCTGAAAATAGGCTCAATTCAAAAGCTTTGCACGATGATGAACCCACGTTAAGGGATACCAATGAACTGTAGCACCAAAAAAATAATTATTGTGAAAAAATAAATGATGTTTTAAAGCTTTAAAAGAATACATCCAAATTTTATAGCATAGAAGTTGAAATCCATGCATATTCATTAAAAATATAACTTTTATTAAATTATCCAATAAGTAAACATACTTGATACTTTTTAAATGAGCAGAGTAAAAATAAAACAATAAAATATAAATATCCTTTTCACATATTTTTAAGCTGCCATATTTTTAATATCTCGTGATAATAAAACAAATATTACTAATAGGTTTCTTAAAACATGGATTAATTCAGAAATTATATTAAGTTCAATTAAAAAAACAAAATTAAATTTTTATACTAAATATAACCACACATCTTTAGAACAATAAATGATTTGGGGAGAGTGGAGAATATTATAAGGCAAAAGAATCAGAAAAACTTATAAATAAGATTTCCTAACACATTTGAATGTTCAATGTAAACATTGTTAAGTGTTTCAATACAAAAAAAAAAATTTAGTCACCATTCCATTAGTAGACTATGTCTTCATTTGTTTTGTTTTTTTAAACATATAGAGACTGCTAGTTAGGAAATCTATACATATACATAAAAAGAGGAAATATACAAATTAGGACGGGACACCATAACGGGTCACGGCCAGACAGGAGGAGGTTGCGTGTGCAATCAAGTCCCAAAGCGGACAGGGGGGCCGGCCTGCAGTCTCAGCAGCCAAGCGCAGGCCCAGAAAGGAGATGGTGGGCCCGACACCCGTGGAAGCAGCGCGGCTCCCTCCCATCTCCCATGGAATCAGCAAGGGTCCCTCCTGGCTCCCACAGAAGCAGCGGGCAGCGTACTGCGCATAGTATC